GTTGAAATCTTAAAAATAAAATAAAATAAAAATAAAATAAAAATAAAAAGAAAGAAAATTTGGGATATGCATATAAAAAGTAATTTGGAGTGTATTCAGAATTTTATTTTTTCAAAATCTTATAAGGTCGAAATTGTCATTGTATATTAGATATATAAATCATTTAAATTGTGGGGTTTATTCAACATTAATTGGGGTGCTAATAAAAAAAAAACCATAAAATAAAATAATAGAACATTTTGCTTGTACAACAGTTGCACTTCAACTTATTAATTGTTCCTTTTTTTTTTCCAATCAAATTTCATTTTCCACAAGCCAATTTCGATGTAATTACTTGAGGTGCCTTGTCTCTGATATCATCGAAGAATTGAAAATAGACATACCTCCTCAAGTTCTTGACAAGTAACGTGCCACAAACACCCTAAAATCCCACGAAAAAGCCAAGTCCCATGCTTACATAGAACCAAAGTACATCCTCATTGTTTCCATCTTCATTGCCTTCTTCACCATCAGAAGGAAAAGTTGGTGCACTGTCATCTCCTGGGCATTTAGCTAGAGGAACCCCACAAAGTAAGGGATTGCCCCTGTAAATGGAGGGATCAATGAGTGTTTGGAGTTGATTGCCCAAATTTTTCCGACCAGGTTGGTATAAGACAAATTCAAATGTGACAAGAAGGTTAGAGAAGACAAACTTTGAGGAATCTATCCCGAAAGATGGTTATGTGAGAGATCGCATGTTTCCAACATTTGAATGAATTTTTCCGCTTAATTGATTCATCGACAAGTTCAAGATTCCCAAGGAAGTCATATTTTCAAGCACTTGGGAATGGTCCCGGAAAAATTGTTGTGACCAAGGTCTAGAGTATGAAGGGAGGGAAGGTAGCACATTTGCTGAGGAAGATGTCCGTTTAAAATGTTGGATCACAATCGTAGCATAAACAAGTCTGCTATAGTTGATCCATTCCACAAAGGTATGCTTCCGGTCAATCTGCTGCCACCGAGATCAATGCTCATTAGCACTACTACAAAACTACCCATTATTGGCACAAATAAAAACGACAAGAAAAGGAACGAGGGATTTTTCCTTAGAAAGTGTTGTTGGACAGCTTTAATATTGAAAGAGAGCTCAAGACCCCTAATGAAATAGGAATATTACCAGAGAGATTGTTGTTTGCAACATCAACCTTTATTACTCTATTCCATCCATGCATGTCGGAATTCTCCGAAAAACCGATTACTCCTTAGCGAAAGGATTGCCAAGTTTACCATGTTGCAAATGGAGGGTGGAATACTACCACTGAAATGATTCTCGAGAAGATACAATTCATCCAAGTAGGGGAACAAATTATCATAGCTGAGGGAATTGGTCCGGAAAATAAATTGCTTCTAAGATCAAGAACCGAGGCACCAATTCTGGACCAGGGTGAGAGTGAGCCCTCAAGTTGGTTATAACTTGTTTGTACCATACTTGACCAATCCCGAAACTATTAAGCACCGGTCAATGTTATACCGTCAAGGACCCAAAAGAGTTTCCCTCCAATCAGGAGGCCAATCACAGTATGACACGTGTCGACATCAGAAGCCAATCATAGCGCAACACGTGTCAACATCAGAAGCCAATCACAACACGACACATGTCAATATCAGAACAAAGCTAGAAACTCTCTTCTATAAAAGGAGATCATTCTCCCACAATATTTCCTAATGTCATTTGTACTAAATCATTCACTAGTACTCACTAAAGGAGAGCTTGAACCTATGTACTTGTGTAAATCCTTCACAATTAATGAGAACTCCTTTACTCTGTAGACGTAGCCAATCTGGGTGAACCATGTACATCTGTGTTTGCTTCCCTGTTTCTATCCATTTACATACTTATCCACACTAGTGACCGGAGCAATTTAGCGAAGGTCACAAACTTGACATTTTCTGTTGTGCCAAAATCCTCACCGATTTTGTGCATCAACATAACTCAAATCCAGCAACTGTACATTTGGAAATTCCAGTTGGAGTGGAAGCGTTCCACGAATTTGGTTGCGAGATAACTCTAAATTAAGGACTTGAGGAGACAACTTCAACAACCATTCCTCCGGTAAGGAATATGACATTCCAATATTGCTTAGACACATTAGTCATGGGTTTGGGTAACCACGGTTACCCGTTCATTTAAAATTCACAGTTACGGTTATGGGTAACTGTTTAGACGAACAAACAGTTATAGGTATAACCGTTATCCGTGAAATTTAAATGGGCTTTTATGAGTATTACCCGCGGTTATAACGGGTATCCATCGGTCTTGATTCACCAGGTACTCTTTCTACTAAAAAAAAATTCTTACAAGGGTTAATTTGCATCAATAATATTCTCTTGAACTAGCAACAGAAATTAAATTGGACTTTTTTGGTTTTGCATTTCATGAGAGGAAGGAAACAGAGAATTGTTCAAATAAAACACTTTGTATTTGTAAAAAAGAATTGGTCTTTCAAACTTAGAGGAAGTTTAAAACGCATTGAAAAGAGGATGATCAAATGAACTACCCGCAATTATAACGGGTATCCATATGAATTATAATCATATGGACTATAATGATTACTTTTTGTTTTTAGAAGCTTTACTTTGTAATTATATGAATTATAATTAAAAACTTGCTTGGGTGTAGCAGAAAAATATCGTTCGTAAACTATTTTTTAATTATTGGAATTGTATGAGTACTTAAATGATTAAAATAGGGAAGTGCATGCTAAAATGTACCTATAACAGTGTTTAATTGTCAGAAAACGAAAATTATGACAATTTTTTTTTTTTGTAATTTTCAAGTTGTTAAAAAAAAACATGTAGACGGGTGAAAAAATGGGTAAATGTGTAAAAAAAAGGATAAACGGGTAAATGATTATGGTTAAATGGGTAAACGGTTATGGTTAAATGAATACACGGTTATGAGTATGGTTAACTGTTTATAAACGGTTATGGGTATGTGTATAACCATTTATACAATTACCCAACGGGTAAACGGTTATGGGTAAATAATCACGATTACCCACCTGCTATAACTGTTGCCCATCCTTACTTAGGTCCAATGGGGTGAAACCACGCAGCATTCTTACAATGAATCCACGTGCCCTTTTTGTATTAGGGAGTCTTTGTCGCCAACGTTTTTCATTTTCTGCACCTGTCTTAATTTTGGTCCTTAATTCTCTTTTGATTGTTCAACACAGTTATTGGAAAGAAAAAAAAGGTTTACATGTAATGACCAAGAGATGTCGAAATCATTTCCTTTATTATATGGTTTGTTTTGATCATTTTTCAATTTTCCCTACCATTGGCGTTAGTTAAAGAATGTATTACTCATTTTGATTAGATTAAAATCTCGCTTCAATGAAAAAGAAATAAAATTTTCCTTTTCTTTTTCAGTAATTATTTTATGATTTATTTTATCATTATCTTTTACCGTTGAAATCCAAGGGAGGTGATGGCATCAACCCAGAATAGTGGCCTGCTGCTTTCATGCTTAATGACCAAATGGGGTTCTTTTTGACCACTTCAACTTTTGATTGTTTCCAACATTGAGGCTTAACAACAAGAAGCACAACAATCTCTACTTCTTTTCATGAATAATTAAATATTTACAAGAAGCACAACATCTGCTTTTGCCTGGGTGGATCCATTGGTGGGCTGAAGCCCAATACCTGTTGGGAGAAAGGCATATTCTTTTGGGCCTTTTTTTTTTTAATCTTGTGCTAATTCTCTTCTCGATGGTAAAAAGAGAGAAAACAGAAAGACAAAATAAATAAATAAATAAAGAGTTGGTGATTGTTGAAACCAAAAACCCAAATCAATTTAGAAATGGATCTCGCCCTACTTTCAAAGGCCCTCGATAAAGTCTGAATGCACAGCTGCATCCATAAAAGCAAAGCCGAGCATCAAATGAAAACTTGGGCTCTGCCTCCAAATGCATCGGATAAAATTTGGGATGAATCATGTGATGAGTCATATTCAGTGCCGATCTTGAGATTTTGGAGGTTCTGTGCGGGACTCAAACGGAGGCCTTATATGGTTTAAAATTTTGATTGCTACATTTTCTTTAATAGTTTGTATTTTTTTTAATTATGGATTAAATTGATATAAATAAAAAAACAACATGAAGCATAATGTGGTGGTATGCACCTATCCTGAATCCTCTGTATTTTTGTTCGAAACTCCTTAATTTTTAAATACAAAAAGCATGGAGTGATGGCTATGTAGTTTTTGTATCACCGTACAAAATACCATATTCATAACCATTAATGATCTTTATTAGCATCTAGAGTTCATCTCATGAAAAATTTGTGTTAAATGAATCACCGGTTATGATATCGATAGCTTACAATGAAATGTTAATTTTTATTGCATTTTTGCTCACGCTTTAAAGCAAGGATTATTCTCACACCCCCCACCTCCGCACCCCTCACCTCTTGGTTGGTTGCCGTTGGATTAGTTGAAAATTTGAGATTCGAGATTCGTGTCTCTAACGGGAGGTGTGAGCAAAATTGTATTATAATTTTCTTTTGATATATAGATGACTAAAGTCTTCAAATGGATGAAACTTATAATTTGATAACTTTTAAACAGAGATCAAAGAATAAACGATTCTTATTATTAAATGTATTCTATTAAATGGTGTCATATAAGGAAGGGGCTTTTAAAGATTATATTTTTAAACTTTTAAGAATTTTAATTTATTATGATATTACTAATTGCAGATTTATTCGTAAAAGTTATGTTATATAATGAAAGAAATGTTTTTTTTTTTGGACAAACAATGAAAGAAATTAAACTACAAATATTCCAAAAAAAGAAACAAATAGTCTAGTTGAAAAAAAAAAGGCCCAAAATGGTTACCGGACAATGCCCAATAGGAAAGAAATCAAAATTAATAAACATGAGCAAGTGTAGAGTCGAACCAGTGAACAAAATGACAATACTGCCGGTTGACAACTCTGCCGGGAAGGCATTGGGATCTTGATCATGCTTTATATATATAGGTTTTTAGAATTTTGGAATCGGGAGCTCTGTGCGATCGCACACTTTGCACTCCCTCAAGGCCGGCCCTGAATTCATATTAATGTAGAGAATCATATGCAAGACAAATCCCAAACCTTTTTTCCATCGTCCAGATCTTGTCAAAGGCTGGGCATCCAGCTGCTTTGCCCCTCTCCATCTGATGTTGCCCCCTTGGCAGTTCTACCACCATTGTGAAAGGGCTGGAGCTTTTTGGTGAGCAATCTGCTACTGTACATCCTTTATCTTTCTATTCGGAGATTCTTATTTTGTTCCTACCTTAATTAACACGGTTTCTTTGATTACAATTCAGGCGTCAAACTTAGTGATGCTTCAAAGAAATTGGGGAAAAAGTTTGCTACCGGAGCCTCTGTTGTTAAGGTATGATGGATATTATATTGTCTGTATGCGATGATAAGAAATTTCCCCTAAACTTGTTACTTCCACCTTTTGTCCTCATCAACTGAACAAATTATGTCATACTACTTTCTATTGATAACTGGATATGGTATGATCTGGAAATCGTATAAAGTTAGTAGCTTATGTGCAGGAAGTCAGATTTTTTTCTTTGTCGTATATGTTTTTGCTTTGTCTGATTTACTCTTGTTTGCAGCCCATCGTTCAGTTTTCCTAAACTTCATTTATCAGTAATGTTGGACCAACTTTTTCATGCTATTAGTCCTTGTCCTGCACAACTTTTTTGTCTGTCCGTCTCTGTCCGTCTATAACGTACTGACTATGATTGCTGCTTGGAAGCGCACTGTCTTCACTGATTAATATGTATGTATTTCTTCATTGGATATGTTTGATCTCAATCTCCTTTTGTGCATGTTCTTTTGCAGTGTTCAGAGGGTTTCATGCATACAAGGATGAGACGTCGCGTGGAATCTTTGATTGAGGTAGTATTTTTCCCTTTCCAGTATAGTTTAAGCTACAGTATCTCTATTTCTTCGGTTGCTTGATAATATCTTGAGTCGTTCTATATTAAAACGCCAACGTTCTAAAAATTTTAAATTGATTTTACCCTGAGAAAAGAGATCTTGAATGAAAAATGGAAATTTTTCCCCATATTCCACCCTCGCCTTCTCCCTCCTCTCTCAGTACATGCACATGTTTTGTTAACTTGACCGATCAGTATTTTGTATCACAAGCAAAGAGATCGAACACAGCTATTCTTTTACTTAGGTTTGATCCCTAGTTTGCAATGAATCCCATCTGAAATGAAATAGCACAAATGGAAACTCATGGCCTCAAAATGATACGAAGACACGGAGCCAAATGTAGTGGATTGGTTTTTGGGACTGGGGAGACAAACTGTGTTGAGTCTGAGATTAGTTTGCATTCTGTAATACAGTATTTTACTTTAGTCTATTATAGTGCGGCACATAAGTTCTCTGCCATTTTACCCGGTTGCATTGAGAAATGTTTAAAATCAACATATTTTTGTTCCCCTCAGGCTCTTGATCGTGCTAAACCTGGCATGGAAGATGGAAAGAACGCTGCTCAAAGTAGATCCTTCAAACGGCTGGTTTGTAATCAATTTAATGCTTTTTCAAAAACCGTAGTGATGAAATTGGTCTACTCTTGCTGAAAGACGGATTTCTCTTAATGCGTTGCATTGTAGAGCCTGAAGGAAGCCAGGACCAATTCAAGCTAAAAAAGGCATGGTAACCAGATAGTAAAAGGGACATGCTCCTACCGGACCTCAAGAAAGTATGTCGTCAAACGAATTGCTCGAAGATATTAGAGAACCGTTGTTGAACAAATCGTGCGCTTATGTCCTTTATGAACAAATCGTTGTTTTGTTAAATTGCAACATTGGATGGTCACATATATTATTATGCGATTGATCAGTACAAACTATAATTTTTATTTAATTCCAGGTTAATACATAATTGTCTGTGGGAACATCTTTTGAAAGATAAGAGTTCCTTTATTTGTATCATAGATTGCAAGTTCAAAAAACACAAAGCAGAAAGTAAAAAACACCACATATGCATAATACTATCAAACTCAAAAAGAAAGAATATTTTTTTAAATGAGCCACTTTCAACGCAATTGCAAGTGCTACCTTATGCCCTCCACTATATCTTTAAGATACGAAGACTAAGGTCGAGCGAGGATATGAAGGTTCCGAAGATTGCAAAGTTGTTGGAAAATATGTCTACAAGAATAGTTGGACCGTAATCGTAGCATATACAACATGGATACATTTTGAGTGTCTAATCAATTGTATTATTTTATGGATACACTTGGGAATAGTCATTGTAAAATATTCAATCATGGCCCACCCAAACAAAAGCCTACCAGAAACATCGTAAAATAGTCATTGTTACACTTGTTGCTTTCTTATATGTTATTAAATAATAGGAGATACGAAATTTTCTATGGAATGATATGGGTAGCCGTGGAAGTCTTGGCACACCAATTAGTATTTGGTGGAAAGGGTTTGGAAGAGAGAAGAGAGAGGCAATTGGCAATGCAATTGAGGATCATATGTTTTTTTAATACTAGTGATATTCCAAACCTATTCATCAAACATCCAGTGCAAGTACATTCGTAAATTCCAACAAAAGGAAGAACAAAAAATAAAAATCACACAGTACATGTATTTTATAGTTATTAAAAATTTTCCGAATTCAAGAACGACATTCATATTTCTACTCTAATCAAACCTTCCTTTGAAAACGAGCCATTTGCACTGCAATTGCTAGCAGTACCTTATCTTTAATGGCATCGAACCATCCAAAATAAGCATACCTCCATGTCTTCTTGACGACTAATCTGCCACAAACACCCCAAAAACCTACGATAAATCCGAGTGCTATGCTAACGTAGAACCAAAACTTATCATTTCCATCTTCATGATCATTGTCTTTTGTAGGAGTGTGATCATCTCCGGGACACTTGGTTGAAAGAGGAACCCCACACAGTGACGGGTTACCCTCGTAAATGGATGGATCCGTGAGTGTCTGAAGTTGGCTGCCCGAAGGAATTCTACCGGTCAAGTTGTTATAAGACAAGTTCAAGTGAGACAAGAACGTCGGAAGTGAAATACTTTGAGGAATCTCTCCTGAAAGGTGGTTGATCGAAAGATCAAGAGCTTCGAGCAACATCAAGTTCCCAATCTTTGATGGAATGCTTCCTCTCAATTGGTTCATCGACAAGTTCAAGTTATGCAGTAGAGCGAGGCTGGATATTTCTTCAGGGATTTCACCTTCGAGGTTATTCGATGAAAGATCAATGCTTCTTACGAACATTATAGTCTGCGGCTGATAGTCGAGTTGTCTTACTTTCACCACTGATGTTTCTTGGTCATAAAAAGCATATAAGTCATAAGCACTGAAATTTCCATGCGTCAGAGCACTCAGTTTATTCAAGCACTTAGGAATAGTCCCTGAAAAGTTGTTGTGTGCAAGGTCTAGGATATGAAGGTAGCCAAGATTGCACAACTGTTGGGGAACTTCTCCACCGAAAAAATTGGACCGCAGTCGTAAGATCGATACCAGTGGCACCCTTGATCCTATCCATGAAGGTATTTTTCCAGTGAATTTGTTATCTCCGAGATCAATATGCCTCAAAGAAGTGCAATTTTGCAAGGAAAGAGGAATTTCACCATCGAAGTTGTTGTTGTTCAGCTTCAACCCGAAAAGAGCGCCCGGGACACCAATCGAACTAGGAAGTTTGCCTGAGAGATTGTTGTGTGCAGCATCTATGACCAAGATCTCATGCAACTGACTCCATGTTTGAGGAAATTCTCATGATAACTCATTGTTTCTCAGCGAAAGGACTAGCAAGTTTTGCATGTTGCAAATGGAGCTTGGAATAGTACCATTCAAACGATTCTCCGCGAGTTACAATGCCACCAGTTTTGGAAACCTTTCGTCCAAATTCAAAGGAATGTGCCCGAAAATTGAATTCATTTCAAGCTCAAGGCGGATCACGTGGTTACCAGACCAAAGCGGGAATGGCCCATCAATTCGATTGTTACTCACATCCAAAATTAGAGTATTCCGAAAATTCAATTCCATTGGAAGGTTTCCAGTGATTTGGTTGTAAGATAAAATCCAAATATTCGACGTTGGAAGATAATTTCAAGAACCAGTGCTTTGGTATAGAATTGGAAATCCCAGTACCCTGAAGTTTGACAAAGACTAGTTCAGTTTCAGATTGAAGCCATACCCCAAAGGTACGACCTACTTTACAGTTCGCAATGTTGATTGTGTGAAGCATGAAAGGAGGTACCCAATTATAAGACACATTGAAACTGAGGTGAATAGGTAGAGTTGGGTATGGATCCACTCTGCCTAATGCAAAGTATTTCAATCTTGTGAGGTTCATGAAATGGGATTCAGTCAAAATGCTTACCCACGGGTTGAACGACAGATCGAGGTGAACTAGCTCAGGAAGTTGTCCTAAACTTTCAGGAATGGACCCATTCATAAGATTGTTATAGAGGCTGAGATACTTCAAATTGCGTAGCATCCCCAAGGACGCCGGCAAATTGCTTTGCAGCATATTAGAAGACAAATCTAGTGACTTGAGTTTTCTATTGGGACAACTTGATAATCCGTCGAACAGCTCTTGAATCCCCCCATCAAATTTGTTGCTGGCAAGATTTAAGGTCTTTAGACTGCAAAAATTTTCAAGCATGGGAATTCGACCTTTAAGTCCATTGAAAGATAAATGAAGGTGTTCAAGTGATTTGAGGCTCTCAAGTTCAATGGGAAAGGGACCAATCAACGAGTTCCCACTTAAATCCATTTTTGTGATGCTACCAAGACTGAAAAACCAATCAGGAAATGGAAACTTCCAATCGTTATACGACACGCCAAGGACCAAAAGTGATATGAGGCTAATGTTTTTGAGTGAGAGTGGAAGGCTTTCAATTTCGCATGATGGCAAGTGTAATTCAAGTAGGGAGGGAAGCATGTTAAAATTATGTAGGCAACTTGTGTTGCTGAGGTCCAACCCTTCAAGATTGAGGTATTTTAGGGAAGAGAGACGAGAAAGCCAATTCAAGTTTTCGGAAGGTAGTTTAAGTAAGGAGTAGTCAGACTCTTCACTGAGATGAAGATGGTTCAAATGTGACAAGTTACCAAGATGAGGTGGAATCTCTCCTCCAAATGAAGCTGAGGAGAGATTGAGATACCTCAAATTTTTTAGCTGGCCAAAGAATTCGGGAATGTGAATCCCTCGAAAATCATTCTGGCTTAGATCTAAGTAATTCAAATGCTTCAAGCTAAGCAAAGAAGGATTTATCTTACCACCCAACGACGAGTACTCCATCTCATCTTGCGCTGCATCAAAGACCGATAGTGTATATATGTATGGATTCTGGAGACTCATCTTTTTGACATGACCTGTGTTGTTGTTACACGAAATTCCTTTCCATTGGCAGCAATCGCGACCGACCCAAGAAGAAAGCCTGCCGGAAGGATCGGTGAGATCTTCTTTGAAGGTGAGAAGCGCACGTCTCTCTTGGTCGATGCATTTGGCGGTTGGGAGTGCATCACCAAGACAGACTTTAGTAGTGTATAGATATGAAGAGGCCAAAAGCAAAAGGAGAAAACAGTGAGCAATATTGAGGTGATAGGTGGGATTGCATAAATTTGCAAAGATAGATATTGTTGTAAGAATAAAGTTTTCTTTGCTTTGTTTGGTGCAGAATGCAGATGGCTACTGAGCATGAGAACCGAATTTTTAAGGAGAGGTCGAAATTATTAGCCGCCGGATTTCAAGTGTTCAATCCACTTGCATTTTTGCCACTTGCTAGTCCACCGAATTTGACTAGATTAGCAAATAGGGATTAAAACAGAAAAGAGTCGACCATGTAAAGTCTTGGCATCAAAGTCTTTGGTGGCTTGGTGGGTTTCTGAAAGAAAAATGAGTAACCATTTTTAATTAGCACTAATCAGGACCTATTGACTTAAAGTCTTGGTAAATGGCATATCCCTAATAGTTAATCATAACAGAATCTTTGTAGTAAAAAAATATATTAAGTTTGGAAATTTAGGAATAAAATATAATTTAATCTTGCTCGTGGTGGATTCCCTTAATAGTCGGATAAAGTAGCCATTTCAACTCACTGTATCTCGGATTCAAACATTTCCCTCACACTTTAGTGTATATCGCTTTTCAAGTTGGTCTTTCTGTGTGCATTTTCCTGTGTGCTTCTCATTCAATGAACTTGCCTCTCTTCTTCTGCCTTTTTCCCACTTTCTCTACAGATTACCGAATATTTTGGTGGGGGCATCTGCATTTTTTATATGTGAACACTTGTATTCTTGTTGGAAAATTTGTGCAAATTATCTAAACAGAAAAAAAAGAAAGGAATTGCATGCCAAGTTAACAATTTTGGTGCATTCTTTCAAGTTGGTCTGTGTGTGCATTTTCCAGTTCGACTCATCTTTCTGTTGAACTTTCAACTGAGTTCCAATTTGATCATAATATTCTTTAAACTTTCTTCTCTTTCCTATGTCGTCTTCCACTTATTTCAACTTTGAATTTCTCCACACTATATGTTCATGGTTCAATGGCATTGTTCCAGTATTAAATTTAATTTACTCTTTCTAACAAAATTGCAGACACTACAATTCTTGTAATTTCTCATACTTCTTCCCAAATACCGCCAAAGAAATATAGTCACGATGTTTGCTTTCTATGTGAGAACTTGTATTCGAATACTAATTGGAAATTTCAGGAAAATATTGAAAAACATGATTTATTTAGTAGCTTGCAGTACATTACACATACATGATAGTCATAGATAAACTAAATACGTAGTACATGAACTTGGTAGTTAGCACTTGGCTTGTCATATTTTAATCTTGAGAGATTTCTTCTCGAATCAAAGTTTCCTTTGAAAATGAGCCACTTTGACTGCAATTGCTAGCATTACCTTATCTTTGATGTCATCGAACAATCGAAAATAAGCATACCTCCATGACTTCTTCACAAGCAATGTACCACAAACACCCCAAAAGCCTACGGTGAAACCCAGCACCATGCTGACATAGAACCACAACTTATCATTTCCATCTTCGTTGCTGTCTTTCTCATCTGTAGCAGTAAAAGTCTCATCTCCTGGGCACTTAGTTGAAAGAGGAACTCCACACAGTAAAAGGTTGCCCTTGTAAATGGAGGGATCTTCGAGTGTCTGGAGTTGGTTCCCAGAAGGAATCTTTCCAGCCAAGTTGTTATAAGACAAGTTCAAGTGAGATAAGGAGGTTAAAGAAGACAAACTTTGAGGAATCTGTCCTGAAAGGTGATTGTGTGAGAGATCAAGAGTTTCCAACCAACGCAGGTTTCCGATCTTGAAAGGAATGTTTCCCCTCAGTTGATTTCTTGACAAGTTTAAGGTACCTAACGCAATGAGGCTTGTTATTTCTTCAGGGATTTCACCTTCTAAATTATTCGATGAAAGGTCGATGCTTTTCACCAAGAACAGAGTTTTGTTATATACGAGTTCTCTTCCCTTCAACGTCAATCTGGCTTGCTCAATATAGCTTTCATAGTCAGTGGCATTGGAAAAACCTTCCACCAAAGACGTCATATTCTTCAAACACTTGGGAATGGGCCCTGAGAAGTTGTTGTGACTAAGGTCTAGGATGTCAAGGAATGGAAGATTGCACAACTGGTCGGAGATATGTCCGCTTAATAAGTTGGATCGCAATCGTACGAAAAACAACCCGGGCGCATTTGATCCTATCCTTAAAGTCATGTTTCCTGTAAATTTGTTGCCTCCAAGATCGAGACTCCTCAAAGACGTGCAGTTTCGCCATATAGAAGAAGGAATTGTGCCCCCAAGATTGTTATCATTCATCTTTAATACATGAAGTGAGCTTGGGACACCCATCGAACTTGGCATATTACCTGAGAGATTGTTGTATCCAACGTCGACAATATCTATTCGGGGCCACACACTCCATTCTTGGGGAAATTCTCCGAATAAAAGATTATTTCTCAGAGAAAGGATTGACAATCTTTGCAAGTTGCAAATGGATGGTGGAATTGTGCCTTCCAACTGATTATCAGAAAGATACAATCCTTTCAATGTCGGCATCAATTGGTCAATGTTCGAAGGAATTGGCCCTGAAAATGAATTGCTTTCAAGATTAAAGACAGTAAGATTGGCGGACAGAAGTGGGAGTGGACCATCGAATTTATTATAGCTCAAATCTATATGATACAGATTTGGACATTTCAGTTGGAGTGGAAGCCTTCCTTTGATATGATTGTATGATAAATCCAAATATTTGAGCTGCAATGATACCTTCAACAACCACTCTTCTGGTATGGTACCCGAGATTCCAGTGCTACGAAGGATGACATCAGAAAGTTCAGTTTGCAACTGAAGCCATGCAGGAAAATTAGGACCAACACTGCAATTTGTAATGCCAACTGTGTAGAGCTTGAAAGGAGGAATCCACTCATAAGTCAGACTGACATTGAGGGACATAGGTCGATATGTAGACACATCAATAGATTGTAATCTTGTGAGATTTGCGAAATGAGATTCTGTTAAAGTGCCTTCCCATGAATTCCCGTACAAATCTAGGTGAACTAGCTCAGACAATTGTCCCAAAGTATCCGGAATCGGTCCAATCATATTGTTGTAACTGAGGTTTAGAGTTTTCAAGGATGACAACTTTCCAATAGATTCCGGGATTTTACCCGAAAAATTGTTGAACTCAAGGTTGACATATTGCAAGTTGTGTAGCATCCCAAGGGAGTCAGGCAACTCATCTTCCAGCTTATTAGAGGACAAATCCAGTGATTCCAATACACCATCTGTACAGTTTGAGAAACCACTCAAAAGCCCTTGAATTCCCCCACCAAATTTGTTTCCTTGAAAGTTTAAGGTCTTTAGCTTGCAAAAGTTTAGTTTGGGAATATGACCTTCGAGTCCATTACCAGAAAAATCAAGGCCTTCCAGATATTCGAGCCTTGCAAACTCACGAGGAATCGGACCAGTGAAATAGTTTCCATAATCATTTTCATTTTCACTCAGATTGAGTTTTCGAAGACTAGTAAGATTAGAAAACCAGCTAGGTAGTGGAGAAATGATAGAATTCATTCTGATATCAAGTACCAAAAGTGAAGTTATATTTACCTTTTGGATTGAGAGTGGAATTCTTTCAATTTTACAACCAGACAAATGCAACTCTAACAGCGAAGGAAGCATGTTAACTGCATATAGCCAACTTGCTCCCGTGCTGCGAAGATTGACAAAGTCGAGATTGAGGTATGTTAAGGAAGAGAGGCGAGGAAGCCAATTCAAGCCTTCGGAAGATATTTCCAAGTAATTCCACCCGAGGTCAAGATGGTTCAGGTTTGACAGGTTTCCAAGGTTAGGGGGAATTTCTCCCCCAAAACGTGAGAAGAAGATATCAAGATATTTCAAACTCTTAAGCTGGCCAAAAGACTTAGGAATTGGATTCTCTTCGAAATAATTATACGAAAGATCGAGTGTTTCCAAAGACGACAAGTTTCCAATAAACTCTGGAATCTCAGCTCCCGATGATAAAGCAAAGGAGAGGTTGAGATACCTCAAATTGTCAAGCAGACCATTGAACTTAGGGAGTTCGAAACTGTTCCAGCTCAAATCTAGGTAATTTAAATGCTTCAAGCTAAGCAAAGAAGGATTTATCTTACCCGACAATAAAGAGCGTTCATAAGCCAACTTGTCGTAGTGATCGGGATCAGACCATACTGGAGATGGATAAGTATTCCGAAGGTCCACCTTTGCAACATGACCCGTGCGGTTGTTGCACAAAATTCCTTTCCATTGACAGCAGTCGCGTCCTACCCAAGAAGAAAGCCTTCCCGAAGGATCAGTAACATTTAGTTTGAAGCTGAGCAGTGCTCCTCTCTCTTCTTCAATGCATGAGTCCCCACCGCTTGGAAGTCCGTCACCCATCCGCATGTAGGAAGTGACCGTAAACAGAAAGAGAAAATAGTAAACAACATTGAAATTTGGATAGCAGCTATCCATTGTACGAAGATTTCTTTGCTGCCGATGGTTACTGAAAGCATGCAAAGTGAAATTGTAGGGAGGCAGCAATCAGCTCAAAGACAAATATTGAAGTCAATGGTGCACAGATCATCCAAATCCTCAGCACATTTTTCATGACTTCGGTTGCCAAAGCAAGTCCGTATCCCGTCAAATGTAGTCGAATTGTTTACAATTTCTTGACTTTTGGAGTTATGATTATTGATTGTATTACATAAACAATTATGTGTGGGTAGGCAGGCCAAGGGACACGCCATCATCGAGCGGGGCCAGGAAACCTCCACCCATCGCGTGGGGTACGGGTCTGTTGTTTGACTTTAATATCATGTTAAATTATCAAATAAACAGATCAAATGTTCACTTCCAACAATATCGATATTGTCGTCAACTTATTAGATGTAAGATTTCATCATAAAAGACCTTGATATTAGTTAAAGTAACATTAAGATATTTACTCTTCTTTTTTTCTTGCTCTTGCCGATGTAGGATATTTAACATTACCTACCTCGGCCTATGAAAAGACCCAACCAGTGTGAGCCTGGACTTTCCTTTCTCATGACTTATAGTGTTTTGTTTCGGGTTCTAGACGTTGGACCGGTCCCACGCAAAAAACAAACTACCCGGAAACAGCTGCGAAAGTGTTGGAAAGAAATCATAATCCCTTGAGATCAAAATCTTCTATTGGAAAGGGATCATTTTCAGATTCCTTCCTTTTAATTCATCAAGTTCAGGGATTCGAACTATTGAAATTTGATCAAACGGTTAAATTCATTGTAACTTTTAAAATAGACCTTGTTTGTAGTAGTTGAAATTTGATCAAACGAGAAAGAGCAAAATGTTGAGGTGAAAAGTAGGGCTGAATAAGCAAGCATGGAACCTATCCATTTTTTTCGAAGTTGAAGCTTGCTAGGAAATCGATGAGGTCGAAAATTCTAGGTCCTCAGCCCATTCTACAAGTTAGCAAAGTCCTCTCAGGTTGACTAGACTTGTGTCTAATTCTCTTTTCCACACCATTTTTCACGAATGAATTGTTGAGATTTGACCAAACGAAATTTAGTTAAATCTTAACCTTTGCTTTTCGTGTTTTGGTGTGCAGTAAAAGCATCACTCGCTTGGAAACGTTTTTAAAATGATTGAAAAACACTTTTAGAGAAAATGATTTTAAATTCCAAAAGCACTTCTAATTCTCTTTCCTACACCATTTTTCACAAATGAATTGTTGAGATTTGACCAAACGAAATTTAGTTAAATCTCAACCTTTGCTTTTCGTGTTTTGGTGTGCAGTAAAAGCATCACTCGTTTGGAAACGTTTCTAAAATGATTGAAAAACACTTTTAGAGAAAATGATTTTAAGTTCCAAAAGCACTTAAAGTGCTTCCTGAAAAAAGCACCAGTTATGTACTTCTGGTAAAAAACACTTGAAGTATTTTTTCAAAATTCACTTTGCATTTTTATTAAGAATTAGTTATAAAAATATTTTCATCAAAAGTCCGCACATTTTTTTTAGTATGCTCTAATTCTCTTCCGCACAATTTTTACTCATGGCGTGTAAGACATACTTCTGGTAAGAAGCTGAAGCTTTAGGAAATCGATGGGATCAAAAAATCCAAGTCCTTAGCCCATTCTACAAGTTAGCAAATTCCACTCCGTTTGACTAGACTTGGGGCTAATTCTCTTTCCCACACCGTTTTTCACGAGTGAACTGTTGAGAAATACCTTTGCTTTTTATGTTTTGATGTGCAAGAGCAGCATCACTCATTTAAAAGTATTTTTAAAATGACTGAAAACACTTTTAAAGAAAATGATTTTGAGTTCAAAAACACTTTCTGCAAGAAGCATCAATTGGTATGAAGTACTTGAAGTACTTTTTCAGGATTTACATTTTTATTATATATTGGTTCTAAAAACATTTACATCAAAAGTCCGCACATTGTTTTTAGTATGTTCTAATTCTCTTCAGCACAATGGTTTACTGATGGCGTGCAATACATACATCAAAGCATAGTAAAATTTTCTGTTTTATGAGGAATTAGTAACAAAGAGAAAAGTGAAAAAAGAGCCAAAGATATTTGTAGCCAACAATAATTAATCGATGCCAGAAAGCAATAAATTTAAATAAAATAACAATAAAAAACACCATTGAGAAAGAAAGAAAATTCTAGTTAATATTAATTTTATCTAATCGCCGGAGTTGGATGGCGTCCAGAGTAGAACGACTCAGACCGAGTCATAAGGCTGAAAGCTGCCCTTTAATTAGCCCGTGTGCATACGCTTACTTCTCACTTTCTCAATTGGTGACCTCTGTTGACCCAAAATGCCCCCACCCCAAAGCCCAAAATCTCACAACTACCCCTGCTTGCCCAAGAACATCTCCGCCGTTGATCATCAAAATGACAAAACATCATCATCGACATCGACGGCAGGAACACTGTGTCTTACAAAGCAAGGGCAGTGGACTAGGAAAAGGAGGTGAGTGGGGCCTCACACCCCGGTAACAGTGTTTGATTTTCTGAGACTTGGGGGCTCTCAAGTCTCACACATTTTTTTCTTCTCTTTTCTATAATTTTTTTGAATAATTATACAATTTTCGGGAATTAAATAATAAGGTGGCTACTCGGAATCACCGTCGAGGCTGTCCATTCCCTTGAGTCCCCTTCGCTTTTGCAGCATATGCAAGCACAAAGGTCGACCAAAATATTATGTGACGTTTACTATTTTATCTTTTTATTTAATACATTTACCATTTAAAGATTTAAAATTAAAAGAGGAAGTCTTTTGGCTTAAGAATTGACATAATTCCCTTACTTTCATCATTGATATTTAAAATCGATAGAATTGGTTCTCCACCGTTCCATGAGATATCTTTGTTAAATTGAGTGTATTTTTGTCAAATTAATCACTTCTCTTAAACTGGTGGTTTCTTCAATTTAACAAAGATTTTTCACTAAAAGACCAAAATAATTTGCGATGGAAAATCTTAAGGATCACTTCTGTAATACTCTGAAAATTTAAATATATGAATTATATATTCACAATTATGAATATGGGGGAAAATCGAAAATAAATCGATTTATGGTTATGAAAAATTTAATCGATAACTTTTAAAGTTTTGTTTCCAGAAAATTATTATAATTTACGGATTTGTATTACTGAGATTTATGTCATTTTTGGAGAAATCATATTAATTCATTTGAGTTTAGTTTTAAAGTAAACTGGTTATGAAGTTTGAAGTTTGAGAATTAATTATTTAAAATTCGTAGACCCCTCGAAGTCACAATTTATATTTTTGAATAGAACTCGGTCTCACGAACGCGTAGGCTCAAACCGTTCGTGAAACGGAGTTATAACGAAGAAGTTATTAACGTTTAAAGTCAGGGATATTCTGGTAATTTTATTTCCATTTAGAAGGCTCCAGAAAATCTGGAGCAATGAGTTGTGCCACGTGTGTGGCTGTGATGAAAGGAAAAAATAAATGATGGACGGTTGTGATTAAAATAAAAGAATAGAAAGGAGAGGAGAATGAAGGAATCACCGGGGGGCAATGGGGGGAGAGAACAAGGAGAGGAAATGAGAGAGGGGAGAAGGAGGGAACCCTTCGACCCGGTTGTATTCATGACCCGACCCGGCCGAATCTTCCAATTCCGGCCATCGTTGATGACGGGAAGGGTGCCAAATTAATCCTTACTTCAAACCAAATCGTTCCCTCTTCCTATTACACCCAAAAAATAAGATATTTGGCCTTGGAAGGAAAATCGCACCGTGGGTGTAGCGGCTCTTGCTTGAGTTTCCCCAAATTTTGAAATGTTTCCATCCAATTACTACCACCATTAAACTTCCCTTAAGGCCTAGAACAAAGCCTATGCATTGGTTGGGGCATCGGAGTTGTTTTAGAGTTGAATTAAGAACCCCAAAAAACAAGGGTTTTCGACAGTTCATGGCCAATTTGAGGTGTTTCCCAGCCAAATGGGACTTGGTCGCATGTATGAAACTTGCTCCACTCACTGAGTTCTATATTCCTGTAAAATTTGGTAATTTTTTAAAATAGTTGATATTCTGGCAATTCGGGGTGGCGGCACGTGCGGCAACGCGTGGCCAGTGAGCCGACGCTGTATTTTTAAGCTAATTTTGATGTTCTGAAACCAAATTTAATAAGCACTTGGTGTAATACACTTGTTTAAAGCTAGAGGGTGATTGTTAGTCATTTGTAGAAATGTCGAAATTTAATTGAACTTGAATTGTGAACTACGAAGGGCTTGATCTCGTTCCAAGGTATGTAAGTAGTCTAACAGTGTTAGATGCAACCTTAAAAGATTGAGAATTACATTTTAGTTGAGAAAATTCTTAGATTGAAAGATTGATCTAGAAGAAGTAAAGGTTACTAATTGAAAGTATAATTATTATGTTTTGGTAAGAGATTTTAAATTATAGGACTCGTGGAATTAAGGAACTAAATTAAAGAATCGAGAGTATTGGCAGCTAAATATACAAGAGTTTTAATTTGGGCCTGTCAACAAACTAAATCCCCGAAAATAAATAATTCGAGGCCGGGGCGTGACAACTTCTATCGGTTTTGAATCTCATAAAAGAAAATGAAGACTTACGACAATCTTAGAGGCCATTTTAGTTATAAAAAAAAACCAGAGAAAACACATGTAATTGACACTAAAAAATGGAATGTCAAAATACACTTCCATAAATAAATTAAATACTGGCTGTGTTTCACTTTTCACCACTATATGAAATATTATTATTGTTGGCATGAAAAGACAACATTAAATATTATTATTATTATTCTCCACTTTAAGCACCTAATTATTCGTTCTACTGAAAGCAGCTCTAGTGGGAGCTCGTGCTCGAGGGACAGGCTGCGGAACAGGGCCAAAGAGCCCGAGTGGGGAGGTCCAGCGTGTGCTGGCGATGGAGCTCGAGCGGCCCCGATGGAGAGGCTCGGCAGGAGTTGTCAGCCCTAGAGCCCAAGGTGGAGTTGATGCATGCTGACGTTAGGGTGAAGATGCAAGGATTTTCTCATGGATTTTCCAGTCCGGGAGGAGCCTGGAGTCTCGATTCTGGTTCTCGGACATCATCTCGTAAAGGGTTTGGGACTGGGTCAGTTGAGTCAGAGACTGATTTGACCCGGCG